TGTAGAGTTACAAGTACATTTACTGCAAGCAACTGAGTTTGTAAAAAATATATTGTATATAAACCTGCAAACAGTTACCGTATTGGTTAACTTAAACAGCCTGACACAACTTTTCATATTCCTCTGTGCAAGGTTTTTTTCCATAATGCACTTGAATAATTTGAAGAAAAGCAAACTTGTTCAGTTAACATACATTACCACAACACCAAACATAGCACAGATTTATCCCCTGTCTGTAGGATACCTTGTACTTCCACTATTGTCATTAAAAAACCAATTTCATCATTTTAAAAAAAAGTAAAATCTTGCTATTATACTATAGAACCTAAAACGTACATGAGAAATGAAGTAGGTCTGGATAATGTATGTAGGTTCTAAAGCGTGTTAACACAATCCATATTTCATACGACAATGTTTGCCTGGAGACATGAAATTATATTTTAAATCTTGCATGACCAGTACTCGTTTAAGTAGTACAATAAATGTTCTGATACTCAGCAATATCAGATCATCTAAGTGCAAGTGTGTATATACATACCTAATACATACACATACAATTTTATGTAGAGTTTAATCAAAATAATCTCCTTTAATGTTTTTTTCATTCAAAAATTCAAATGGAAACTTTATTTAAGTTTGATAAACCTCATATAAAATAGTTGACATTTTTATGCCTTATATCTCTATTTTGACACCATAATCCACAATATTATTTTAATATCAGTATAAAGCATCATACACAGAGCGTTAATGGCTGTCATTTTTTTATCATGATAACCTAAACAAAAGCCTTTGAACTTCTTCCTTTGTCCATCAGATCCTAGTTCAGTTTGAACTTCTTCCTTTGTCCATCAGATCCTATTCAGTTTGAACTTCTTCCTTTGTCCATCAGATCCTAGTTCAGTTTGAACTTCTTCCTTTGTCCATCAGATCCTAGTTCAGTTTGAACTTCTTCCTTTGTCCATCAGATCCTAGTTCAGTTTGAACTTCTTCCTTTGTCCATCAGATCCTAGTTCAGTTTGAACTTCTTCCTTTGTCCATCAGATCCTGGTTCAGTTTGAACTTCTTCCTTTGTCCATCAGATCCTAGTTCAGTTTGAACTTCTTCCTTTGTCCATCAGATCCTAGTTCAGTTTGAACTTTTTCCTTTGTCCATCAGATCCTAGTTCAGTTTGAACTTTTTCCTTTGTCCATCAGATCCTAGTTCAGTTTGAACTTCTTCCTTTGTCCATCAGATCCTAGTTCAGTTTGAACTTCTTCCTTTGTCCATCAGATCCTAGTTCAGTTTGAACTTCTTCCTTTGTCCATCAGATCCTAGTTCAGTTTGAACTTCTTCCTGTGTCCATCAGATCCTGGTTCAGTTTGAACTTCTTCCTGTGTCCATCAGATCCTGGTTCAGTTTGAACTTCTTCCTTTGTACATCAGATCCTAGTTCAGTTTGAACTTCTTCCTTTGTCCATCAGATCCTAGTTCAGTTTGAACTTCTTCCTTTGTCCATCAGATCCTAGTTCAGTTTGAACTTCTTCCTTTGTCCATCAGATCCTAGTTCAGTTTGAACCTCTTCCTGTGTACATCAGATCCTATTCAGTTTGAACTTCTTCCTTTGTCCATCAGATCCTAGTTCAGTTTGAACTTCTTCCTTTGTCCATCAGATCCTAGTTCAGTTTGAACTTCTTCCTTTGTCCATCAGATCCTAGTTCAGTTTGAACTTCTTCCTTTGTCCATCATATCCTGGTTCAGTTTGAACTTCTTCCTTTGTCCATCAGATCCTAGTTCAGTTTGAACCTCTTCCTGTGTACATCAGATCCTAGTTCAGTTTTAACTTCTTCCTTTGTCCATCAGATCCTAGTTCAGTTTGAACTTCTTCCTTTGTCCATCAGATCCTAGTTCAGTTTGAACTTCTTCCTTTGTCCATCAGATCCTAGTTCAGTTTTAACTTCTTCCTTTGTCCATCAGATCCTAGTTCAGTTTGAACTTCTTCCTTTGTCCATCAGATCCTAGTTCAGTTTGAACGTCTTCCTTTGTACATCAGATCCTACTTCAATTTGAACTTCTTCCTTTGTCCATCAGATCCTAGTTCAGTTTGAACTTCTTTCTTTGTCCATCAGATCCTAGTTCAGTTTGAACTTCTTCCTTTGTCCATCAGATCCTGGTTCAGACTTGAACTAACCATTAACAAAACCTTTCTATGATATCAGATCTAAACCATCAAGTGATAAAAGTATTATATCAAATGTGTCATGTGAAAGGTACGAAGGTGCAGTGGTACTAACACACTCTGCTGTCACGAAGGCAATCAAGGTCAGAATCCCCCATCAGATGTGTTAAAGTACAGTCATCTTTCTGATTACATGGGTGTGTCCTAATGATTTCCGTATCCATTTCCATCTAGTAAAAATGTTTCTATACATTGATATCACTCATTTCATAATACTTAAAGTTGATAATTTATGTCTGTCGTTGATGACTAGACATTTTACATCGGAAAAGTATTATGCCTCTTATGGGATAAAAGTGTTCCACATATGATTGCATGGGTTCATACGAAAAAACATCCCACTTTATACATGAAGTGTATATAATGTGTGATTAAAAATGTATATGTACTATGTGAAGAAATGCAGAGAGAACGACCATATATTTTACAAAAATTAAAGATGTATGGTTCACCTACTTGAATGAATGAAAATAAAATGATTCATATTATGTTTTGCCAGTGATACATTGAAGATAAAAATCAATGATTTCACAGGTACAAATCTATTACAACAACACAAGGGGTGTAGAGCCTACGTCTCGTGTAGGTATCGTCGCTTCTGTAACCCCTCACTGGATACCCCAAGGTATGCAGGGCGATTGAATATTAGGAACTAAGAATGCGGTGTGGTCAATCACAAGATACTGAGGATCTTCAGTGTCATCACACTACATTTAAGATCGTCAGTTTGTTGCGATTAATAACACCTTTCTTAGTTCTATTATAACAATTTACATCAGTACATTGCCACAGGACGTGTCAACTGATTTCTCTCCAAATATAGATATAGATTCTGCTGGAACAGATTTATTCTATTCACATCGGAGAGGAAGGATTGAATACAAAAATAAATCTACATTGTTTGTAGGACAGTTCTCTTACACAAACCTATCAAATAGAATGGTCAGACAATAATTACTATCACTAGCATGGTCATCATGACGTCATCAATACAGCCAAAGACACAGTTGGTAGTATTTAACAAATTGAATCAGAATGTATAAAAAGTAAATCAAATGCAAATTATCACATGACTTGGTTTGTTTGTCTGTCATTTATCAATACAATGAATGCAGGGCTCTCGATTTGCCAGATTTGGGGCCGAATTCCCAATGCAAAATAGTATCTTTTTTTCCCAATTTAGACCCCAAGTTTTCCCAAGTCTAAGGAAAACACCATCATATTTCCCAATTCTAAGGGCCCTGGGCCCCAGTCCCAAAATGGGGTGTGAGAACTCTGTAATGCCATACTAAAACATTAAAAATAATGCTTATAATGAAAGGAACAGATCACAGCTGAGATATATGTGTGACCATAAATTAGAAAGAGACTTTGATGAACAGATTCATGCTATGTTCCTATCTTAAACCCTTTATTTTCTCATTCTTTCATCGACAGGAAGCATCTGTAATAAATCTCATGGAATTTTGATAGGACTCATAGAATTTCTGAAAATGTTGAAATTTTACACTGTGGGGCCTATTGTTTTTAGCAATAAAGTCAAAAAGGACTAATGAAAATGAATTAAAGATTGATTGCTTCAGTGCTAACAGCTTTGTGATACAAGAAGGCCTACCTGGTAACTTTATCTTGTGATCAGTATGGGATATTCCACAAAATATTAATTGTGGATGGATGCAAATTTTTTAAGGCAATATCAAATAAAACCATTAACATTGGTTCATTATTCATAAATGTTATGCAAATTTTTGGCTTCATCCTCTATCCATGTACAGGACTATATAATAGTAATAGTAATATATTTATAAGTGGCCTTATTACCTGCCCTTCACTTTTCATCTAATAATTATGATTATACACAACATATTGGTTTATTTGGATCTTCAGTCATTGATGGTAAATTGAATAATTTTGGATATAATTCCAGATGCTGAGTATGTCAGTTTGCAATTTTCAGAATTTAAAAAAACATGTGTTCATGCTTTGGTAATTGATTTCATTTGATGTCAATTTTATATTTATTAGGATATCAAAAGAAATATTAGTTTGAGTTTATTGAGACATTTATGGTAATAAATAACTAAGTAGTGTGAATTTATGATCGTGATATTGTATTTATTTGTATCAATACAGTAACTGATAAATATCATTAAGAGAAAATTCATGGTAGCCGATAATGAGGAAATTTTTATTTATTTCAAAATACAGAATGCATAATAGTACACATCTTCTTTTGATAAAATACATTTATTTGAACATTTACGGTACCTAACTGAGAAATGGATTGAAATCAACAAAAAAAACAATAATGAAAACAAGAAAATGGACTGTAAAATCTCTATTGCTACAGCCGTGTTGACTAAAACTAATAAAAAACATTTTCCGTTCCAAACTCAATAACATACCAAACAGAAAAGTTAAGAAATTAATACTCTTTAATCTTAAATCAGAAAAACGAATTTCGCTTTGGGGACAATTCAGGTCAGATTAACACTACAACTGTTTAAAGAAAGATTTGTTTTGTTCTAAAGTTACTGGTATATTGGTATTTTCTAGCTTTGTCGTTACTTTATTCTTAAGACAGTCCTAAAGCTCCTGTCAAACTACACCTAATGTTTACTTTGAAGTTAATTCTGCCCTTGGCCTATAACATTATGTAATTATGTGATTTTATCAGGTAGAACCCGGTTACAAGCTCATTACTTTAACACTGACATGGCATTACGAATTAATTTAATTAAAGAAGACATTTTAAATATCTTTCTTTTTCTTTCTTTTCTTACCTCCGATATTTGAATTGGAGAGCGCACCTCCGCTCCTCCCTTTAATGTAAATCCCCATGGGCTCCCGCCTTTCAGAACAACTTCAAATGGTTCAACTGTCAACAGTGATGACGAACTTTCCACTTTTTCTTCTTTATCGGAGGTTCTGTCCTCGTCACTGACATCAGAACTATCCGATTCCATGATAAAATTGGTAAAATAAACTTTATGTAAATCCCGCACGATACTTTTCACACCTCTTCCTTCATCGGGTAAAACTTTATAAAGCTCACCGACAGCCGTGGGAAAAACACGATGCTTTCTCAGTCAACTTGCAAATTAGCTTGTGTGATCATCTGAATCAAATGCAAGGAGATCCGAATGATGTCACTCTACATAATCCCACAGGTAAACATACAAGGGGAACCGATGGCAGCATTACCTGTGAAGCGGAAGTTTCTGCGTGAATATCGTTATAGTCAGTTTCTGATTTGTACCGTCTGAGTGGTCTATGTTGCTTAAGGCATGTACAGATTCTGTTATCAGTGAAAACAGCACAGGATTCTAATTCTGTAGCTCTTATCGAAATAGCTTTAACACCTTTATCTATAAGAAATTTATTCTATCACGAAATCGTGGAAAAAAATATTTTTTTACAAAAAAATGAAAGTATCACCACTTGTAACAGGCAGGTGTTTAAAAAATTAAAAGAAATGTAAACAAAATTTATCACCACCTTTTTTTCAAACAGAAATGCGTCTTGTTTCCATTTCTTTCTACAGATGTCTTTTCTCCTTCATTGATTTTGAGACATTTTAGATTCAGTCGCCTACATTCAATGGCATCAGAAAACTAAAGAATTCAACCCACAAAACAGCCTCAAAATATTCTGAGGACCAGATAATGAAATAGCCCAGAAACATTTGAAGTCTATTTCCCATTGCGGACGCTAAATTAGCCTTGACGACCAACCATTTACCCGGCGATCTCTATCTAACTGGACTACACAGGCGAGCTGCAATTCGATACAAGTTGCCGCCTTGCATAGAACCGTCCGGATTTTTTGTGTTACGAGTTTGCGAAACTTGTTTACCGATGATAACAAAAGATGTTCACCTTAGGAATTTAAAGAGACAGTAATGATCGGCGAGCGCCTACAGGTGTGCAGGACAACTATGTGTCCGACAAAAGTACATATATAGCTGTTACAAATCAATCATGACCATGAATTATCGGCCTTGGCATAATCTAACTTATTTACTTCTTAATAATGTCTGATTCAAAAACGAAAACAAGTAATCCTTGTGAACCACAGAGGCACGTTAATTAATTAGAATGTATACAGAACTATGCCATGTCGAACAACCTATATAGATTGGGTCGGACTAATACCGGTATATAGTTATATGTGTATTCCGACTCTGCTATAACTGTCACAGTTATACCAGAGACATATATATATATATAACATGTGTTATATACGTCTCTGGTTATACAAACGAATTAATCACCGACTTCTCCTGTGGATGAACCACGGACCGTGGTCTAAGTCCGTGTCATCATTTCGTCGATCATATAATATACTATACATACATATATAATATATCACACACACAAATACTACATATTTTGGACATTGTAACACAATTAACAAAGAAGACAATTTTTGACTCGTGCCCTGGCCGGGTCTCGGACTCACAATTTACGGCGCCAAATTACCTAGCCAAGAAATTTCAGACTGCTTTACTATTACGCCATCACGACATCCCTAAATCTTTGGAAGTTGTACTGTAAGATAGCAGGGATTTTCTAGACATGATCATTATGGTAAATAGTCTAATCACGTGATATGTACATCTGGATCGCACTGCACAGCTGATTTGGTTTCTTTATTTATTAATTTATCTATTTATTAAGGATTTTACGGACTAAATTTTTGCCGACGTTTTGACTGTCACGTGAATTATTTCTAATTTATCTGATATGTGTCACGTGCTTCTGACACTGGTGACGTAGACCACGATGTGTGGTCAGTCTTCCCCTAGGATAATGGTAACAAGAAGGTTACACCATGTAAAATGTCAACAGATTTTTCAAAACAGGTTGGGGAAATTTCGATCGATATGTTATTTTGAATTCTTCAACAGAAAACTGAAAAAATACAAGCTCTGAAAATCTAAAATGAACATGGACGGAGATGTATTATCAAAAATGAAACATTAACTTAGTTCGAAAAAGCAATAGCCCGTCATTAAGCTAACAAGTGGTGAGAACTCTACGAGAACTCCGCGACCTCTGTGTATCCTTACATATTCGGGAGGTGCTATTCCATCATAAATTTATAGGGTGACCGGATGGTTCAGTGGATAGTGTGCTTCGTGTTTCACCAGGCAGTTTGGTTCAATATTCACAGATCGGAATTGAAACCGGCCATCATTTAGCCTCATTCCTATGCTATTTCGCCAAGATTTCAAGAGATTTTATTGTATTTAAACACCGACATCGTGGACTTAGTTAAGTGGTAACATGAGCGGGTATGGTGGGAAGGAGAGGGAATGCAATGATCTGTAGAAGTAACACGTGACGTGTCATTCCCCAGCTTCCAACTGTAAACACAATATTATGTATATGCAATCCATTTGATCGTAAGCGCATGAATAACGTTCTGCCCCGCCCCTCCCTTGGCTGCCACGCTCATCGTTATCGAGTGAGACTAAAGGAGGTAAGAATGATGAATAACGCCATTGCCCTCTGGATGTCTTCAAGAAATTATGACACAAATTTTAAGATAACTTCAAAATAATACCCAGGTGTCAGATAAGCTACTTAACAAATTCTTCATTGTAAAAGGTGGATTCTTCCGTAAATAGAATACGTTATTCAACACACTGAGCGTTCTATATCTATCACCACTAATACTAACGGGTTTGGAAAGGAATAACAGAGTTACCTGCTGTTAAGGTGAAAGGTGTGCGAATAAAGTATCGTGATCTCTGTTTGGGGAGGAGAAAACGCCCAGAGTAATATCTTGGTATCTATGTACTCTGTCTACTTTCTTATACCTTATCACGCCCCAATAAAGACATGGATGCTGAGTTTCATTCATATCGGTATATCATGGACCAACTGTTCTGTGGAATATTACTTTTAATTGGTGCCTTTCTCATTCAAAAGTTACCATAATTTCCATTTTTTTTCTCTCATTTAATTTTAACTTATTTCATTTCACCCATTTCTTATTTTTTTGACAAGAGTTGTGTTTTGGATGAAATATTTGTGTTCAGTTACAATGACTTAATTCATTGTATGAAGATCTTTAATTAATTAACCTAAAACTCGCTTGAATAAAGAATGTCGCCTGATTTTATATCATTCGTCATTTTTAATGTTCAAAGTTGTGAATATCTAAGACTAAGTTATGTATAACACTGTGACCTTGTCTAGTCGTGATGACGCATACGTTTTTCTCTGTGACACACTTTCTGAAACGGACTATACACCTTAAATTATATCGCTAATTGATAAAATTGGCACATAGCGGGTCAGTGGTTGTATACATACAGGAGTGACATGGTTCCTGTTATCGTCACCCTGTCAAGCGCAAAAATAAATAACAAAATAGAGGATTACGGACAAAGGTGATTTATCTAAACTGGGAACATAAAAGCAGTTGTGCTGTGTACAGATCTAGAAATAGGATCAGAGATGTTCGGAATTATATACACATGTGAATATATTTCTAAAATTAGCGTGTCGAGATTTTTGTTATCACGTGTTGAAATGTATATTGATCCCCAGCAAAATTATTTTAAATTACGCCACCAAATTTAAGTTAATCTATTTACACCAGACACCTTAATGTATTCTTTTTTTCATAAGTTGTATGATATCTTGAAAAAACAAAACAAGAAGATAATACCAACGTATCTACATAATCATTATCCAAACTCAATAAAACTAGGGCAAAATATTAACAAAAGAAGGATTTACACGGAGACTATTGAAAAAGTACAAGGAGATTAATACCAGGTGTTCCGGAAGAGTCAACGTCTTCTGTTTCATCGATAATGAAGATCCTTTATTTCTAGGGTGCTATTTTGAGGTGCCGTTTTAGTTTTAATTCACTATTTTCACATCATAAAATCGACTTCTTCACATCAAAAAGGGATACTTCATCATAAGTTTTACACAAGAAGTCGCGTCTGATAATAAATATTATTGTTGATGTGAAAAAAATCGTTATCATTAAGCTAACAAGTGGCAAGATCTCTAATAGAAGTTGAATTCCGTAACCTCTGTGTATCCTTACATATTCGGGAGGTGCTATTTCACCGTAAATTTATTCAATCACTAAGTCACAGAGGTTGTTTGTGTAAATACGGTGACCGGATGGCTCAGTGGATAGTGTGCTTCGTGTCTCGCCCAGGCAGTTTGGTTTAATGTTCACAGATCGGAATTAAAACCAGCCATCATTTAGCCCCATTCCTATGCTATTTCGCCAATATTTCAAGATTTTTTTTCTTTAGTCATCAAAATCACGGATTTGGTTAAGTGGTAACAATAGCGGGTATGGTGGAAGGAGCAGGGATTCGATAATCTGTAAATATGACACGTGACGTGTTATTCCTCAACTTTCAGTAGTAAACACGATATTATGAATATGATATCCAGTAAATTTATGTAAATATATTTAATATATTTATGTCATTTCATAAATTGACTTTAAGAATTTGTGTGCAAATGAAAATAGATCTAAAACCGGAAATGGTACAAGTATATGTTACAAATCTATTGTGCCTGAAGTCAACACGAGTTCACTCCCTTGTAGTACACGTTGAGTAACGCCAATCCTCGATGAGTAGAAAGTGACCCCAACTTCCTGGAGTATCGAGGAGATGTATTGATCGTAACCTCCTGGAGAATTGAGGATGAGTTCGTAATCAACCAATGATTTTATCATAAAAATATGTGGAAATAAATTTCTGTAAATGCTGGAAATCAGAAGCCGATAAAGAGAAATGTGTGGTCTTCATGTTGCTTGTTATTTGGTGCTTCTGTTTATAGTGGATTCGAGGACGAATGGGGAGGGACGCTAAAATCACCTCCCTCTTCCCGTATCCCCAAGACACCTCTCTATTCCCGTATCCTCCAGACACCTTCCTCTTCCTGTCTTCTCAAGACACCTCCCTCTTCTCATTTCCTCAAGACACCTCCCTCTTCCCGTATCCTCAAGACACCTCCCCCTTCTCGTCTCCTCAATACACTTTCCTCTTCCCGTATCCTCAAGACACTTCACTCTTCCCGTATCCTCAAGACACTTCACTCTTCCCGTATCATCAAGACACTTCACTCTTCCCGTATCCTCAAGACACCTCCCTCTTCTCGTCTCCTCAAGACACATCCCTCTTCCCGTATCCTCAAGACACTTCACTCTTCCCGTATCCTCAAGACACTTCACTCTTCCTGTCTCCTCAAGACACTTCCCTCTTCCTGTCTCCTCAAGACACCTCCCTCTTCCCGTATCCTCAAGACACCTCCCCCTTCTCGTCTCCTCAAGACACTTCCCTCTTCCTGTATCCTCAAGACACCTTCCTCTTCTCGTCTCCTCAAGACACCTCTCTCTTCCTGTATCCTCAAGACACCTTCCTCTTCTCGTCTCCTCAAGACGCCTCCCTCTTCATGTCTCCTAAGACACCTCCCTTTTCCTGTATCCTCAAGACACATCCCTCTTCCTATCTTCTCAAGACACCTCCCTCTTCCCTTCTCCTCAAGATACCTCCATCTTCCTGTCTCATCATGACTCCTCCCTCTTCTCTTCTCCTCAAGATACCTCCCTCTTCCCGTATCCTCAAAATACCTCTTTCTTCCCATATTCTCAAGACACCTCCCTCTTCCCGTCTCCTCAAGACATCTCATTTTTCCTATATCTTCAAGACACCTCCCTCTTCCCTTCTCCTCATGACCCCCCTCGTCCCGTCTCCTCAAGACACCGCCCTCTTCCCATCTCCTCAAGACACCTCCTTCTTCCCGTATCCTCAAGACACCTCCCTCTTCTTGTCTCCTCAAGACACCTCCCACTCCCTGTATCCTCAACACACCTCCCTCTTCCCGTCTCCTCAAGACACCTCCCTCTTCCCGTATCCTCAAGACACCTCCCTCTTCCCGTATCCTCAAGATACCTCCCTCTTCACGTATCCTCAAGTCATTCTCTCTCTTCCCTCCTCCTCAAGACACCTCCCTCTTCCCGTATCCTCAAGACATTTCATTTTTCCTGTCTCCTCAAGACACCTCCCTCTTCCTGTCTCCTCAAGACACATCCCTCTTCCCATCTTTTCAAGACACCTCCCTCTTCCCTTCTCCTCATGACCCCCCTCTTCCTATCTCCTTAAGACACATTCATCTTCCCTCCTCAAGACATTCTTCCTCTTCCCTCCTCTTCAAGACACCTCCCTCTTCCCTTCTCCTCATGACATTCCCCCTCTTCCCTCCTCTTCAAGACACCTCCCTCTTCCCTTCTCCTCATGACCCCCCTCTTCCCATCTCCTTAAGACAACTCCCTCTTCCCTCCTCAAGACATTCTTCCTCTTCCCTCCTCTTCAAGACACCTCCCTCTTCCCTTCTCCTCATGACATTCCCCCTCTTCCCTCCTCTTCAAGACACCTCCCTCTTCCCTTCTCCTCATGACCCCCCTCTTCCCATCTCCTCATGACCCCCCTCTTTCCATCTCCTCATTACACCTCCCTCTTCCCATCTCCTCAAGACCCTTCCCTCTTCATGTCTCCTCAAGACACCTCCCTCTTCCCGTCTCCTCAAGACACTTCCCTCTTCCCGTCTCCTCAACATATCTCATTCATCCCATCTCCTCAAGACGTCTACATCTTCCCGTCTCCTCAAGACACTTCTCTCTTCTGGTTGCCTCATGATCTCTCCCTTTTTCTGTCTCCTCAAGACATCTCCTTCTTCCCATCTCCTCAAGACATCTCCCTCTTCCCATCTCCTCAAGACACCTCCCTCTTCCCATCTCCTCATGACACCTTATTCGTCCCATCACCTCATTACCCCTCCCTCTTCCCGTCTCCTCAAGACACTTCTGCTACACTTAATCTATAAATAGTTTTATCTCTTTTTTAAAGAACATATTTGCCTTCCAAATGATCTTTATTATTATTTCTCTGGTGTATTTATTGTCAGGAAAACATAAATATCGCACCAATAGCACTACTCCAGGGTTGTTTATTGGGACTGTCTCTATTTCTATCTCAAAATATTACACCAAATCAGTGATTTCATTTTTAAATATGAGCAAATCATGCTTCAAATGACATCTGGCTTTAAAATTACAGATAATTTGCTGTTATGATCTGTATAATCAAGGTAATTATAATGTTAAGTCAGACTGAAAGACAAACTTTGTAATCTGATAGCTTATGTGTAACCTTTTTGCTGAAGTCAATAACCAGACAAAGCCCTTACATTTGGCTTAGTTAGTCTGTTATCATCGTGTACACAAAAATAATACAATCTGATGGGACCCCAAAACACCCTTGTTTTTCCACACAGTTTTACACCTTGAACCCATTTCCAATATCGTCTCATCCTCAGTTCAGATATTCTGAATGCTTAGTCCTAGTGATATACATGTCTTTATTCTGAACCATGTGACTTTTTGGTCTGTGGTATGATGTTGTGATACATGGCATTAACATACTTAATTGTCAACAGGAAGTCAGATATACATGTGTTTACCCTGAACCACATGACATTTTAGTGTGCAGTATGATCAGCAGGAATTCTATAGAAGATGACCTTGTCACAATATCAAAGACACTTACCCTGTTGTATGGTATAAGGTCAATATGCTGCATGGCAACAGGGTTTTGTTCAAGTGCTGGAATAACTTCTGAATAACTAACAAGAGTGTTATGATAAGTGATAAAGGGTAGGAGTGATACTGGATTCCAGCACATCTCAACAACTACATAACATAGCTAGTGGTTTTAAACCATGTAGCTTATCTGTTGTGATAACCTCAACAAAGTTGTTTGAATGACTGACCTTGACCCATTTCTGATGAAATGAGTTAAACTTTTTTTCTTCAATAACTCCTGTGTGCTAGTACATGTTTTTAGATATAGAATGTTGTGATGACCATGAACTGTATGTTAATCACCTTTTAGGATACACAAAAAAATAATTGGAATCCTTTTTGTCAATTAATTAAGAAGCAGGTCAAATGTCATGACTTCGGCACATTTCACCTCTGTGACCTTGAAAATATATTCAATTCAAATATTCATTTATTTATATATTAATATACAATGCTTATGTGGAACAATCCTGATAACAAATGACATTTATAACACATGGATAACACATTAGGCCTGAGTCTCTTCATTTGATCACTTTTCAGCAGTAACATGTGATAACTACTGTACATTAGATAAATTTCTGTGGGGTTTATTTTCGAGTTAATAACTACGTAAGGAAAGTCAATTTCGAATTCAAATCCCTTGTGATTATTTAAATGAAAATAGCTTGTCGTGTTGATTCAGTAACCAATATCAGAGTCCTGAAGAGACCTGGTCTCTAATAGCTTTCTAATTATTTACAAATTTAAAGTCATATCTGACACGAAAGACGGCTACAAAACAAGAAAACAAAAACATAGTAACAAATACATTCAACAATCTGATTTTTTATACATAATAACTGTGACCTTGACCTTGGAGCTTGGGATATAAAAAGCAATAAAGTCCCAAGCAAGCACTTTTGGAAAGTAAGCATTTTATGAAGTCAACTTATCACACATAAAATGATATTAGCTTATAGTTACAGTGACATTTGACCTTTGGACCTGATCTCAAACAAGCACTTATGGCTAAGAAGCATTGCATCAAGTCTGATTAGATTGGCGACAGCAAGTTATTCCACAAAACAGATTTTCCATTATAGTAACAATAACCTCAACCTTTGACTTCTGGGTCTGAAAAGTAATCCCTAGCAAGCACTGTCAGTGAAAAGCATTGTATGGAGTTTGATTTTGAGTGGCCAAAGGGAATCAAAGTTATATCACAGAAACAAATTTTCAAGCTACAATTATCTGGATCATTGACCCTGGGACCTGAAAAATAATCTAAAGCAAGCCATTTTAGTAAGGAAGCTTTGCATGTGGTTTGATTGGCCAAAGCAAACTTGAGTTATCACAGGGAAACTGATTTTTCTATTTATAGTAACAGCGACCTTGATCTTTGAACTTCAATGCTGAAAAGCAATCTGGAAGCTTTGTATGAGGTCTGAGTTTGATTGGCCACAGCAAACTTGAGTTATCACAGGGAAACTGATTTTTCTATTTATAGAAACAGCGACCTTGATCTTTGACCTTCAATGCTGAAAAGCAATCTGGAAGCTTTGTATGAGGTCTGAGTTTGATTGGCCAAAGCAAACTTGAGTTATCACAAGGAAACTGATTTTTCTATTTATAGAAACAGCGACCTTGTTCTTTGACCTTCAAAACTGTAAAGCAATCCTAAGCACACACTTTTAGTAAGGAAGTATTGTATGAAGTTTGGGTTAGATTTCCAAAGACAAATCTAGTTTTCACACGGAAACTAATTTTCTATTTTAAAGTAAAAGTTACCTTGACCTTTGAAGCTAGAAAGCAATTTTATGCAAGCACTTTCAATAAGGAAGCACTGTATGAAGTTTGAGCTTGATCGGTCCATGGAAACTCAATTTTTCACATGGAAACAAAAGTGCTGACAGATGGACAGATGGACAGACGGACTGACGGACAGTGTTACCATTTATAGGGACCTGCACTTTGTGTGAGGCCCTAATAATCTCTTCACAGTTCTGTTGTTAGCTCAGGATCATTATTTTTTGTGTTGATTCCACTGACAATGGTGATTGTTACAGCTGTTTGTGTTATTTTTAGACTTTTCTGATCACAGGGACTTGACAACCAATCTCAACCCCATAGTCTGTACATTGCATATAATGTATTATGCAAGTCCCTATGTTTCTAACTCATATAAAACACACACTCATTATTAGAGTATCATTTTTTATTATATTTTTATGATATTACATTGTACATGTATACAGTGAACAGTTCACTTTCAGCAAGAAATAGTTTCCCCATATTTGGCTTCACACTATGATCAGAAGATAAAAGCAGGTAAACTTAAGACATTAAAACTGAAACACATATTTTATGCAGTATTTAAACAATAGGATCATAAACTGTACACGGGGGAAATCATTTCTTGAATGAAACGGCAAAAAATTGCTGGAACAACAACATCAATGATATCATATATGAACATATCAAATCCTTATTTAATCTCTTCTGATGAATAATAAGTTTGAAATGGCAGTGTACACCCAATACCATAGATGCTGTACAAAACACATGTATATCACAGTACATGTAATAGAATCTATCAGGCATCATACTGTGTCCAGCATCTGTGCTGCTAATGTTAAATGTAATGACAATACGTTTTTGGAATGTGCAGAAGTCGATATACAAATAATATTGAAATGTTCTCTCTAAAACTTGTTGGAAGATTCTTGTGTTCACCGGAGAGGTTCAAATGCAAAGAAAGAAAACGTCATTGATCTAAACCGACGAAGAAAATTCTCAACCAATTAGAACTTTGTATTATATATAACAATGTACAAAATAATACAGTTATCTAAAGCATCACTGCATCAGACCTGGGCATATTCTACATTATCATTGTCAGTTATTTCATACAGGTAACCAGTATGATACATTAATGAATTAAACAATTAAACTTTAAAAAATCAGCAGGCAAGATAAGAAAGTTCAAGACTTTTATCTAAATATGTCATTATTTTACTACATCTAATCCAGTCTGTGGTACTGTGCTCTCAGGTTCGAGTCATACCTGAAGACCATATTGATACAGGACCTACATATTCTAGTTCTATTTAAGGGACTTGTGTAATTTGGGATACAGATTCAAAATCTAATCTGATTCATAAACTAAAGGGCCCAAGTTCAATTTGAGGGACTTTTTTTGTGCAGGATAAAATTATAAAGGTCATAACCTACAGAATTAAGTTTGGTCCAAGAGATTTTTCAGATGCAGGACCTACAGATTTAAGTTTGGTCCGAGAGATTTTTCAGATGTAGGACCTACAGATTTAAGTTTGGTCTGAGAGATTTTTCAGATGCAGGACCTGCAGATTTAAGTTTGGTCCGAGAGATTTTTCAGATGCAGGACCTGCAGATTTAAGTTTGGTCCAAGAGATTTTTCAGATGCAGGACCTACAGATTAAAATCCTATCCATAGAACCTATGATAAACAGGATATACAATGTAGAAACTAGAAGGCTAGGTGACTGAGTCAATCAACATATAAATACACAGGTTTAGATTTAAGGTTTAAGCAGTCTGAAGAAACATGTTGTGAAAAATCTGTTAATTTTTATGGGGATTTACTTAGTGCAAGTAGATTTATTGAGCCATATTTACTCATAAAATCGACTGGTCATAAAAGAATATCCCCCCCCCCCCCCCACCACCCCCCGCCCCCCGAAATCAACACCTGTTGAAGGTAACAGTCACGTAAAATATGGTACCGTGTCTATATACTGTTACTATGGTAATATAGATGGTCTCTTTATACAGGTTTAGCTATCATGACAATAACTGTGATAACCAGCTTAAATAGTGATTTTTTCCTACTTATATTGAGGTAGTCCCTTTCCACAGAAGAGATCATTTGAGGAAGCTGGACTTGAATTATATCATTTCATTGTTTACAGTGTCCAAGGATAAGAATCACAAGAGTAAGACCTTGCCAAATTTGGCCATCTAAAAGTTATACCCTGAAAAAATTAGATAAATAAAATTAAACCATCATATATCAGGATCATCACAATGACAGAAAAATACAAACATCCATCTAGTTTGTTAATGTAGAAAATGTTCAACAATAACATGAGGTAAGTGTAAGATTAGATAAACTGTTTACGTCACACATGTATGACAGTAGAAAACAAACAATACATATATCAACTAAATACCTACATTTCTGACTAACCAAGGTATTGCAACAAATACATAAATATATGGAGTTAAATAAAATGTTTTGCAGTAAAACTATAAACAAAATGGAAACTTCTCGGAAGCAAAATAAAATTGATGTCAGTTCCGCACTATCACAATGAGGCTTACATAAACATGCTGAAGCCTCCCTTGAACACAAAAACTCACCAGATGCCCTCACCTCACATACATAAGGAGGCCGACCTCCAACAATCGTACATAAGGAGGCTGACCTCCAATAATTGTACATAGGAGGCCGACCTCCAACAATCGTACATAAGGAGGTCGACCGCCAACAATCGTACATAAGGGGGCCAACCTCCAACAATCGTACATAAGGAGGCCGACCTCCAACAATCGTACATAAGGGGGCTGACCTCCAACAATCGTACATAAGGGGGCTGACCTCCAACAATCGTACATAAGGGAGCCGACCTCCAACAATCGTACATAAGGGAGCCGACCTCCAACAATCATACATAAGGAGGCCAACTTCCAACAATCGTACATAAGGGGGCTGACCTCCAACAATTGTACATAAGGAGGTCGACCGCCAACAATCGTACATAAGGGGGCCAACCTCCAACAATTGTACATAAGGGAGCCGACCTCCAACAATCGTACATAAGGGGGCCGACCTCCAACAATCGTACATAAGGGGGCCGACCTCCAACAATCGTACATAAGGAGGCCGACCTCCAATAATCAAAGTTGTTGATATGACGTTAAACAATAGAAATCTCGAACCGAATGAGACATGGCCATTCACTTAACATCCTCCATGTTGTCATTGATATTTAGATTCACCCAGAACTTATGATGATAAAGGTATTGTATATCAATAATTTTTGGTACTAAATAAATTCATTTACACACATCCAATCTATAAATCTCTCTCAAACTTACATCCATACATTGCATAGAACAGGTTAAAAAAACAACACTACATAGCTAAAGGAATTACCCAGAAAACATGCCACACATAATATCTATATTCACCCAAACACTTTCTCCTTCATTCCAAATATGGAAAGTTGACATGACCTGGTCAGACAATAACATCTTAATACTTTAACTGAACCAAATAAAGTCAAGCTGAATCACATTTGCTACTTTTTTATACAATTGAAAATTGGGCAAAAAAAAACAAAAATTTCATATATATATATATGTATAACTTTCAGTAAATATATCTATATATATATACAACTTACAGTATATATATATGTATATTTCTTGTTCAGTGAAATTACCTACAAATCATCTTATTGTCAGATGTAAACCCATCCACAATGAAAGGTTACGTGTCAATACCCTGGGCTTATTGAAGGATAACACAGTATGTATTTGGGAATGTAATGGATTCATATACATCACTGACAACAATTTTCAGCTTGGATTAATTACAGGCCCACCAGCCTGGTGCTAGTGACTTCTGTTGATGTTTTTTTTCCCAGCTGTGGAAATATTTGTGTCCAGCAGTATATTGTTTCAGGCTTATGGACTATAACAGGCTACTAGCCCTGGGGTGGTGCATTGAAAACAATTTTTTACACTCCTGATATAATATCAAGAATTCATATTGAGTTTAGAAATACAACCTAATGTTAATACATCCAAAATTTACCTTATACTTATGTACCAATACAAACAACTAATGTATTTGTAAATATACAAATAATGCCATTCTAAATTCTGGAGACAATAATAAAAAATCAATGCATCTCAAAATAAAATGCCCATCATTCAGTGACATTCTTTATAAATAAATTGAGACAACATTTAATTGTGTAGTATTACCTATTTAGATTTATCTGTATATATATAACTTAACACATAAGTTGGCAACACTGGAGTTACCTCCCTTTAGTCCACTCCATTACTAGTGGTATGATATCGGTTTCTTTTTCAATCTTTTTCTGTAATAACCAAAAAAACTTCAATATCGAACATATCAACAACAGATAACAGAATTTTAAATCATTAGGCCAGTATGAATGTTTAGTGGAGTAAATAAGCAAAAAGATGTTGTACTGTTGTGAAAACCAAAGGTGTACTCCATTCAGTAAGTCACTCCAAGGACATCAGTACTAAACAAAACATGTCAACGTTTTCAGAAATCTATCATCAAAGATGTTTTAATAGCATCTTTAAACAATTAAGGAAGCTGCAGATGTTGACCAAATCAGTTTTACTTGATCATGTATTACCTACACAGCACAGTGTATTTACAGAAAACTAAGCCCAATAAAGGAATGGTTTATTTCGTACAAATCTCTGATACAGGTGTAAAATGCACCAGCTTTAATCAATTTCTCATTTTCAACAAAAGACTTCTGTTTCATTTCTCAAAAATTATATCTCTCCTAATTAATCCATTGTTATACATTCAAAAAATTAAGTTATCCAGCTTCTTAACAGTATGAAAAAAACCATCACTTGTTTCATATCAGTGTGACCTTAGACTTGTCTCCCCTCTAAGTGTAGACAAATTCTCATATCACACTCATACAGGGTCAATAATTGTATTAGCTTCATATCAGTGTGACCTAAGACTTGTCTCCTGTACATGACAGTTTACTCGAGGTGGAATGCAGAAGTAAATAAAATCATCTTTCCAGCATCATGTCACACTTATTACCAATTCCACAATCTCAGTACTTAATTTAGAGTGCTGTAGTGTACATATATCATGTAATATAAACAGTACTTTCATTTCATTTGTTCACTTACATGCAAATATACAAAATATCTTTTGTAAATATCTTAAGATATATATGATATACAAGTTACCATTAAACATTAGAACATGAATTTCCCTTTATACAAATATATATTAGGGAAATAACAATACAATATATTGTCATATTAAAATCATTATTGTATTTCAAACATAAGCTGACTACATAAAAGTGACTGGTTATTTAAAAATCCCTTAATGTAGAATATGAAATTTTTTTGGGTTCGTGAAATGAAATATTTATATAAATATTACATTAAAGACAGAACTATCTGTTGACCAAGCAGAATCCTATTACGGTTATTGTTCACAGCATTACCAAGAAAGGGGAGGTAACCAAGCTTTCTCAGGGCAAGAAGAAACCAATGTCCAACACATAAATTCAATATCATATTATGGTTGAAATGATATGTCATATCACTTTCAATTTGTATCAATTTATTTCCAAATTAACATAAAGATGTGAAGTGTTAAATTTCTGACTTCCATACCTTAAAATGACTGTAAGACATTGTATTACAGTCCATTTCTAAGAATTCACTTAATAGATTTACAAATCTGAGACACTTAAAACACTATGAAGTAAAAACTAAATAAAGTTCAAATTTGGAGCTATGCATCTATATAACCATACAAGATAAGTTGGTGATGCGGTATTGTTACAGATTGACAAATGAAACATTGCACATTAAAATAAGCAATATCCATCATTCAAAGAATCGTTTTCTGAGGTAAGTAAGAGAACAATACTATCAATCCCATATTCACTAAGACTACTTTTTATAGACATAATAAAACTCTTTTTAGCCAAGAAACAGCATTAAAAGAAAATCAAACCATGAACATAAGAGCATAAAAGAACAACAAAAAATGACTAAGGACTAATCTTGACTGAATTCTTTCCCATTTATCAAATAAATGGATAATTCTCACATATTTAAAATCCCTTTCTGAATCGGAAAAATTACCAATTAGATGAATTCTTATCTGTAAAAATAAGTTAAAAAAAAATATGTTGAATGACAGGAAATGAAAAAATTGACAAAAAGACTACTATCACAGAGAGCATTATATAGTTATAATCAGCTGTAAGTCTGGACTTCTGATAAACCTAACCCAGCCATTACTGTAGTATTCATGCCTCCCCCATCACCAGAAGTGTCATGGAATGTTCGAATAATTTCCTGCATAGCAGAAAATGTACCAGTGGCAAATCCCACAATTCCAAGCAAGATAATAAGGAGGTTCTTAATTACGGAGATGACGGACAGCCGTTCGCCTTCTGCTGAATAAGTGATGATTTCAATCAGCGGAGGGAACATCAATGCTAATGAGCTACTGGCTAATGAGCCGACCAGGGATATCATCAGGTCTAGGTGTGGCACCACCATCGCTATCCCACCTGAAAGAAAAAACATTAAAGAAATAAAGGAAATATCCATATTTCTACTTTTATTTTCATATTTGTAGTTTTTTTCTATCCCTTTGACATTTAAAATTAAGTGATGTAAAGTTAGGAACATTAAATATTACTCAAACCATTCAATATTGTCTGGCTATACTAAGTGGGTTGTAAAGGATGACAACTGAACTTAACATCTTAAACCGGACAGGGATAAGGCAAAAAAAGTAGTGGTGGCCATATTGAAATTGCAATTAGACTCAAATTAGGTATCAATGCCTGGATCTCATAGTAATCAAACCATAGAAGTTTCAAAAAAATGCATTATCTACAAATCAAAACACCATATGTGCCTTGATGTGTCTTTATATGGTTTGCACTACTTAATGAAATATAACAGGTACTTTATAAAGAAATATTCAGTGTAGTGATGATTCACTGTGGCTATTCCAACGAACAAAAATGTACTTACACGTAGCAAGCACCAGTGAAGTCCTGAATATATATTCCGACATGATCTTCATTTTCCTTGAACTGATTTTGGCCTCTATCGCTGGCCATATTATCCGAACGACAACGTACAGCTGTAGGCCGTACGAAATAAAGATGGCAATGGCATACATGAGATTTACAGATATAAACAACCTGAAATATATAAATATTTATCGACATTAATGTTGCCAGCATCAGAAACATCAACAACATACTTACCAATTTAAATGATAGTCCAAATGTTTGTGTGTTTTGTCATTCATTACTTTTAATATCAATAATGGAAAGGGGTAAGTCAACAAAAAGTGAAAGTTCATCAATGTTACACCCAACAAAAACATATTTCATTATCAGTAGCCATTATACAATTTACATTAGTCCTTCAACTTAACACAGTCCTTTTATATTTAACTGTAGCCCTTCAACCTAACACAGTCCTTTTATATTTAACTGTAGCCCTTCAACCTAACACAGTCCTTTTATATTTAACTGTAGTGATTCAACCTAACACAGTCCTTTTATATTTAACTGTAGTCCTTCAACCTAACACAGTCCTTTTATATTTATCTGTAGCCCTTCAACCTAACACAGTCCTTTTATATTTAACTGTAGTGATTCAACCTAACACAGTCCTTTTATATTTAACTGTAGCCCTTCAACCTAACACAGTCCTTTTATATTTAACTGTAGCCCTTCAACCTAACACAGTCCTTTTATATTTAACTGTAGCCCTTCAACCTAACACAGTCCTTTTATATTTAACTGTAGCCCTTCAACCTAACACAGTCCTTTTATATTTAACTGTAGTGATTCAACCTAACACAGTCCTTTTATATTTAACTGTAGTGATTCAACCTAACACAGTCCTTTTATATTTAACTGTAGTGATTCAACCTAACACAGTCCTTTTATATTTAACTGTAGTGATTCAACCTAACACAGTCCTTTTATATTTAACTGTAGCCCTTCAACCTAACACAGTCCTTTTATATTTAACTGTAGTGATTCAACCTAACACAGTCCTTTTACATTTAACTGTAGCCCTTCAACCTAACACAGTCCTTTTATATTTAACTGTAGTGATTCAACCTAACACAGTCCTTTTATATTTAACTGTAGCCCTTCAACCTAACACAGTCCTTTTATATTTAACTGTAGTGATTCAACCTAACACAGTCCTTTTATATTTAACTGTAGTGATTCAACCTAACACAGTCCTTTTATATTTAACTGTAGTGATTCAACCTAACACAGTCCTTTTATATTTAACTGTAGTGATTCAACCTAACACAGTCCTTTTAGCAAGATCAGAAAATGCAGCGACTGGTTTTCAGGATGTGGTAGAGGTATGACAGGGGACATTTGTCAAAGTCGCAGCTCTTAAGTAAAGCAGCATACCTGATAATGTGGACTTTTGACACATGATGTGGTAACAATTTGGACAATAATAAATATGAATACATGAAAGTGGTAGGGAACTGTATAAAAGTGTGGGTGATTCAAGTGTGAATAATCTTGTTAACTTTTTTGATGCATTCTATATTTGTGTTTGTTGAAATGTATGCAGTACTTGTATGAAAATGAAATCAATGTAATAATTTTAGTCTTGTTTTATTCTTTGGTATTTATCATTAAATCAAACACAGCCAAACAAGAAGATGTGATGATAGAATTCATGATGTGAGGATACTTCAAATCATTTCATGTTGAGTAACAACTATAAAAAAATGTTTCAACAGTGCAAAGTCATGGTACCATTACAAGGAAAATTGATAAAATACATGTATATAATCATTTACTCATGGATCATCAAAAACAGCATGAAAAAACCAGGTTAATGAGAGTGAAAGGAATTATACAACACCAAACAACAGTGTCTACAGACATAGTTACTTCCCTTGAAGAGACAGGCATGCAATGCTCAAAAAGTGGCAATGTAGATAATAACTTGTGCAAGAAATGCTTTTTTCAGAAACAACTTTTATAAGTACCGAAACAACAGGGAACCGAAACAACAGGGAACCGAAACAACTAGAATTCATTTATATAAGTTTTTTTTGTATCACTTTACTGTCAGCATATCATGAACATGACTTCATCACTACACATATGTCAAACAGGAACTATCCTCTAACTCAAAGTCAATTTACAATCCAGGTTTTTTTTTCTCCGCAATCTTATCGTGTTTGTGTTTACAATACTCAAAGCTAGCAGTAAACAGTAAGCATGATTTATGGCGAGTTCAATATATAAGACTCGCTACCACAAAATCTAAACACAGTAATGTTGCTATGAACTAAGATTGTGGAAATCAGACCCCCTATAAATTTAAACTGTTACATAATGCATGTACTTCAGAGCTGTCAAGGCTAAATACAATCTACATTATCTACGTACCAATTTTTACTGGGCAAGTTGAGGGTAATACTGCCTTCTGCTTCCTCGCCATATTTAAGGTAACCATAGAAACCCATCGCTGTGTAGAGGCAGACAACAAAGGTCATCCCAAGGTTAAGGATACCAACACAGCCTCCAAAATCCTCAGGATGTCGCATTTTGTTTTCAATTGGCATTACCTGGAAAAACATACTGATACCTGATTATTTGTACCAGGTAAATAGTACAGGTAGTTTGAAAACAAGTGAATGCCAAGTAAATTACCCCTGGTGTACAATTTACACCTGGTAAATAGGATATTAGATTTACACCTGTTGGACAGGACATTAGATTTACACCTGTTGGATAGGACGTTAGATTTACACCTGTTGGACAGGACATTAAATTTACACCTGTTGGATAGAACGTTAGATTTACACCTGTTGAATAGGACAGGTAGATTTACACCTGTTGGATAGGTCAGGTAGATTTACACCTGTTGGATAGGACAGGTAGATTTACACCTGTTGGATAGGACGTTAGATTTACACCTGTTGTATAGGTCAGGTAGATTAACACCTGTTGGATAGGACAGGTAGATTTACACCTATTGGATAGGACAGGTAGATTTTCACCTGTTGGATAGGACAGGTAGATTTACACCTGGTGAGTAGGCTGGCAAAAGGACAGTTAGTTTTACACCTAAAATACCACACAGGTAGATTTACACCGGATATACAGGACAGATAAATTCACAATTCATTCATAAAATTTGTGGATTTACATCGGGTGTATTATAACACTTGGTGAATAAGATATGACAGGGAAATTTACATCTTGTGACTTTGATAGTAAGATTTATACTGACTCATATCTGATGAACAGGACAGATCTATTAATACCAGTCACATGGTGTTAGGGCTTAGCAGAATTCCAACAGACATGGTATAAATGCTGAAAGAATTTTACTTTGTGTAAAGGTCTGACAGAATTCCAACTGGTTAAAGACAAGACAAAATTCACATGGTGTAGATGCTGACAGAATTTCACCTTGTGGAAAGGTCTGACAGAATTTTACCTGATGTAAAGGCCTAGCAGAATTTAATCTAGTGTCTGACCTTTACACAATGTGAAATCAGTCTGGGCCTTGTGAAAGGCCTGACTAATTTTTGTTAAGTCCAAACACGATATCATCTGGTGTTACGGTCTGGCTTAATTAAAACTGGATAACAGTATGTGGTAAGATAGAACAGTGGTAACACTCTCACTCCTTACCCACAGTATGTGGTAAGGTAGGACAGTGGTAACACACTCACTTCTTACCCACAGTTAGTGGTAAGGTGGGACAGTGGTAACACACTCACTTCTTACCCACAGTATGTGGTAAGTTGGGCTAGTGGTAACATGCTCACTTCTTACCCACAGTTAGTGGTAAGGTGGGACAGTGGTAACACACTTCTTACCCACAGTATGTGGTAAAGTGGGACAGTGGTAACACACTCACTTCTTACCAACAGCATGTGGTAAGGTGGGACAGTGGTAACACACTCACTTCTTACCCACAGTATGTGGTAAGTTGGGCTAGTGGTAACACACTCACTTCTTACCCACAGTATGTGGTAAGGTGAGACAGTGGTAACACACTCACTTCTTACCCACAGTTTGTGGTAAGGTGGGACAGTGGTAACACACTCACTTCTTACCCACAGTATGTGGTAAGGTGGGACAGTGGTAACACACTCACGCCTTACCCACAGCATGTGGTAAGGTGGGACAGTGGTAACACACTCACTTCTTACCCACAGTATGTGGTAAGGTAGGACAGTGGTAACACACTCACTTCTTGCCAACAGTATGTGGTATGGTGGTGCAAGGGTAACACACTCACTTCCGACCTAGAACTGTCTCACGCTTCAATCAGATTTATTCAAATCAGATGATATTACTAATTTCTCAATTGTTGTAAAAGAAATAAAGTATAATGTTTTCAAAGGTCCTGATAAAAGCTCTTCTAATATTTGATCAATCCAAGCTTAAAATACATAAAGAAGATGTTACTGTAGAGCTTACCAATCCTATAGCCTCAAAGGCAAACATAGCTGTGCCAAAGTAGAGAGGAAGTTTGTCTACCGGTGTTATAGCAGGACGAGAACTGACGTCAGGGAGGCCCTGAACAAGTTCCTGGAAAACGATCACAAGGCCTACTATGACCAACAGGTTGGCAAATGTGGAAAACGGTGCCAGATGCTTCAAGTTCTTCACAAAGCAGTAAGGTATAAGAAGCGCCGCGGACACCAGCAGGTAAATTTTTACATCAGGACTGTCTGAGTGGAATGATTGTATCACCTAGGAGACAAAAAATAAAAATAACAATGGCTCAACTAATGGAAAGATTAAATGTGATCACATCTACAACATACAAACACTGTATTACATGAAACAAAGGCAAATCCAAAGATTTTAAATTCCAGCCTTTTGAAAATTTCAAGAAGTAGAGAATGTAGTTGGTATACCATGCCAAGTCATATACTTAAGATACTTTGTTATAAAAGGAAAGACGAGAATAACCCTGAAAACTACTTCAATTTATCTTATTTTGGGGCCAATGTGCCCTTGATTGGATTTAGATGTTTCTTTCATTCACTTTGGATTTTCCTCAACCAAGAAATAAATCGTTCCAGAGATAATGGATATTTCCAGTATGAGTAATCTTAAATCATTATTAACTGGGGAAATAGAATTAAAATAATACTGTATTGATCTGAGGATAAATATGACAATATAACCAATTAGCAAATATGACTTACCTGTTGGACATTCTGAGCAACAAATAAAATGTAGACACAGCAAAATCCAAATTGTGTCAGAAGCAGAAATCCATTGATTGTGTACCTGTAAAATAAATTGAAAAAAATCAAAGATCAGGAAAGGTCACTATTCTTCAAAGATGCTGAAAACTTATAACAGAATAGGTGATACCTGGGCATCTGAAAATGTTCAATATTTACAATCAAACCTGTTTATTTACAATCTGACATGTCTTCCTGTTTATTTACAATCTGACATGTCTTCCTGTTTATTTACAACCTGACATGTCTTCCTGTTTATTTACAACCTGACATGTCTTCCTGTTTATTTACAATCTGACATGTCTTCCTGTTTATTTACAACCTGACATGTCTTCCTGTTTATTTACAATCTGACATGTCTTCCTGTTTATTTACAACCTGACATGTCTTCCTGTTTATTTCAACCTGACATGTCTTCCTGTTTATTTACAAACTGACATGTCTTCCTGTTTATTTACAACCTGACATGTCTTCCTGTTTATTTACAATCTGACATGTCTTCCTGTTTATTTACAACCTGACATGTCTTCCTGTTTATTTACAATCTGACATGTCTTCCTGTTTATTTACAACCTGACATGTCTTCCTGTTTATTTACAATCTGACATGTCTTCCTGTTTATTTACAATCTGACATGTCTTCCTGTTTATTTACAATCTGACATGTCTTCCTGTTTATTTACAACCTGACATGTCTTCCTGTTTATTTACAACCTGACATGTCTTCCTGTTTATTTACAACCTGACATGTCTTCCTGTTTATTTACAACCTGACATGTCTTCCTGTTTATTTACAATCTGACATGTCTTCCTGTTTATTTACAACCTGACATGTCTTCCTGTTTATTTCAACCTGACATGTCTTCCTGTTTATTTACAAACTGACATGTCTTCCTGTTTATTTACAACCTGACATGTCTTCCTGTTTATTTACAATCTGACATGTCTTCCTGTTTATTTACAACCTGACATGTCTTCCTGTTTATTTACAATCTGACATGTCTTCCTGTTTATTTACAATCTGACATGTCTTCCTGTTTATTTACAATCTGACATGTCTTCCTGTTTATTTACAATCTGACATGTCTTCCTGTTTATTTACAATCTGACATGTCTTGTAGGAATCTGCCTACATTGTGATATGTATGTTTACCAGCATACAGTAACCTTTACCTGCCATGTCGGTGAAATCTCTGTAATCGTGGTGGTCCTGTTCTCAGGCTTTCTTCTAGAATCTCAGCATACCCGAGTGCACATAGCCCTTCTGTCCTGTCAATGTTATAAGGAGCTTGTCAGAAAAATCTCGGTTCAAATCTACATAGTTTACCATGTGTAAAAAATTTCAAATTCAGTTTTAAATCTGTTATAACATAAATAACATATGCAATCCATCTTTGATCACTGAGGTTTCATCCTAGACAGAATAATGGAAACTGTTGTCATAGAGTCAATACTGCCACCACCACCCCTCCCAAAAAGGGCATACGTTTCTGAAAAGGGGAGGTAACTCAACCTGATTATAGATTAAGATGCACAACTACAATGTATTAGGATTATAGCCAGCAAGTATCATTGTAATCAATTCAGTGGTTTAGGAGCAGTAGTCACTACATCATTGCATCTACAAACAGACAGCCAGGCAAATAAACAGACGACCTGATTCTAATATACTCCCCCCACCCCTCCCCCAAAATAAAATGTCTTCTGAATGTGAATACATCTAACTGGAAATGACCTTTTGGCAAATACACTAAGGCGTCATAGAAGATTTGACAAAAGGGCATGCTGCAATTATATCGACTGTAATTACATTAAGTACTGTTGTAGTGGGACCAGATATAATTATACTCTTGTCTTAAATAGAATGTCTAGTACTGTCTTAATGAGATAGCTGTGGGCTAATGTATATATATTCTCTATGAAATCCACATACCTACCTTTTACACAGTTTCCTGCTACAGTTGACTAGCATGTGCATACAATGTGTGGCAATGAATCCAATCACCAAGACACCCACTGGTCCAGCCTGTAATGTTATATCAGCTATATAGCTTTAACCTATTTCAATAAAACAATGTTAAACTTTGAACCAATATCAGGAAAACAAAGCAATAAAATCATTGTTATACATAATGTAACAAAATGAGTAAAAAATGGATTTAATGGTTACTTCGGAATGGTGGGTATCGTAGAGAGCAGCATCTTAGTTTAAAGTACATCAGGTCAAGAGTCAGTCAATGCTGGACCGAGGTAAAAATCCTGTGAGTGACAGATAGTGATGCACGCCTGATAACGGGCGGGGGTGTGTACCCCAGTGTTGAAACAGTGTGGCAGAATATCGCCAGTATGAATGATCAGGACAGATAGATGCTCTCTTTTGTATGTCTCGCGCTGGCGAATGTATTTGTAAGTAAACGAGATAAGAAACAATGTATAAGGTAGATCAAAGATGGGAAGTTGATAACGGGTACTCCTAGTCGCACATGCCTTCATAATTAGATGCTTCAGGGGCTGGGTTATTGGTGTCCAATAGGGACTAGGCTTAAATTAAGTATTTGGGTATTATTTATACTAAGACAATAGCTAGCAGAAGTTAGTCAAGTCTGGGATCGAGTAGCTAGAGAGAGTTGGGAGTGGGACGTGGAGACTGGAAGAGTCCCGGATGGGACCTGCTCCGCGATGGAGTGGGCCCCTGGCCAAGTTGGCCCATGGACATTTGTATGGAACTCTTTGATATGGACGGGCAGGTGTTTATTTTTTTGTCTGCCTTACACAGGTATTTATTTTTGGTGCCACGACATGCTGCTGTATGTTGATTAGGAAGCCCAGCATATTTACAAGCCGACGGCATGGCCAGGACACCTGTACCGATGTTTCCCTTCAGCAGGTGCATCAAACTGGCAAGATTCCTTTCGAAAAGATCACACAACGAGAGGTCACATCGCATACATTATCACCTTACTATACTGTGGTTTAATTAATTGTACTAAATATATCATTGGGTTCATGGCATATCTGGTACATATATTTTTTCTATTTCAAAACTTACCCTTTAACTTTGATGTAATCGTAGATTAAGTGGAATTGTCTTACTGCTGTTCTGAAATACCTTTTGATACCAGCTTTTTAATAAGATGGACGTAGATTAACACACACAAATACTGCTGTTCTGTATGTATGACACACTTATGAAACGTAGATTTAAGCTGTTCTGTAGTCTGTTGAATACTTACGATGTACGTAGATTAAGTGGAGTCTTACTGCTGTTCTGTACTGTTGAATACTTACGATGTACGTAGATTAAGTGGAGTCTTACTGCTGTTCTGTAGACTACTGTTGAATACTTACGATGTACGTAGATTAAGTGGAGTCTTACTGCTGTTCTGTAGACTACTGTTGAATACTTACAATGTACGTAGATTAAGTGGAGTCTTACTGCTGTTCTGTAGACTACTGTTGAATACTTACGATGTACGTAGATTAAGTGGAGTCTTACTGCTGTTCTGTAGACTACTGTTGAATACTTACGATGTACGTAGATTAAGTGGAGTCTTACTGCTGTTCTGTACTGTTGAATACTTATGATGTACGTAGATTAAGTGGAGTCTTACTGCTGTTCTGTACTGTTGAATACTTACGATGTACGTAGATTAAGTGGAGTCTTACTGCTGTTCTGTAGACTACTGTTGAATACTTACGATGTACGTAGATTAAGTGGAGTCTTACTGCTGTTCTGTAGACTACTGTTGAATACTTACGATGTACGTAGATTAAGTGGAGTCTTACTGCTGTTCTGTAGACTTACGATGTACTAGATTAAGAACTACTGTACTACTGTTGAATACTTACGATGTACGTAGATTAAGTGGAGTCTTACTGCTGTTCTGTAGACTACTGTTGAATACTTACGATGTACGTAGATTAAGTGGAGTCTTACTGCTGTTCTGTAGACTACTGTTGAATACTTACGATGTACGTAGATTAAGTGGAGTCTTACTGCTGTACTGTACTGTTGAATACTTACGATGTACGTAGATTAAGTGGAGTCTTACTGCTGTACTGTACTGTTGAATACTTACGATGTACGTAGATTAAGTGGAGTCTTACTGCTGTTCTGTAGACTACTGTTGAATACTTATGATGTACGTAGATTAAGTGGAGTCTTACTGCTGTTCTGTACTGTTGAATACTTATCATGTCAGTATATTAAGAGGAGTCTTACTGCTGTTCTGTAGACTACTGTTGAATACTTACGATGTACGTAGATTAAGTGGAGTCTTACTGCTGTTCTGTAGACTACTGTTGAATACTTACGATGTACGTAGATTAAGTGGAGTCTTACTGCTGTTCTGTAGACTACTGTTGAATACTTACGATGTACGTAGATTAAGTGGAGTCTTACTGCTGTTCTGTAGACTACTGTTGAATACTTACGATGTACGTAGATTAAGTGGAGTCTTACTGCTGTTCTGTAGACTACTGTTGAATACTTACGATGTACGTAGATTAAGTGGAGTCTTACTGCTGTTCTGTAGAATACTGTTGAATACTTACAATGTACGTAGATTAAGTGGAGTCTTACTGCTGTTCTGTATGTTGAATACTTACGATGTACGAGATTAAGTGGAGTCTTACTGCTGTTCTGTTCTGTACTAGATTAAGTGGAGTCTTACTGTGTTCTGTAATACTGTAATACTTACATGTACGTAGATTAAGTGGAGTCTTACTGCTGTTCTGTAGACTACTGTTGAATACTTACGATGTACGTAGATTAAGTGGAGTCTTACTGCTGTTCTGTAGACTACTGTTGAATACTTACGATGTACGTAGATTAAGTGGAGTCTTACTGCTGTTCTGTAGACTACTGTTGAATACTTACGATGTACGTAGATTAAGTGGAGTCTTACTGCTGTTCTGTACTGTTGAATACTTACGATGTACGTAGATTAAGTGGAGTCTTACTGCTGTTCTGTAGACTACTGTTGAATACTTACAATGTACATAGATTAAGTGGAGTCTTACTGCTGTTCTGTACTGTTGAATACTTACGATGTACGTAGATTAAGTGGAGTCTTACTGCTGTTCTGTACTGTTGAATACTTACGATGTACGTAGATTAAGCTGCTGTGACTGTTGAATACTTAGTACGTAGATTAAGTGGCTCTAGTCTTACTGCTGTTCCAGAACGAGCATTTCCTTGGAGAGTGTCTGTTGAATACTTGGATGTACGGGGAGGGGAGTGGAGTCTTACTGCTGTTCTCGTTGTTAGCCATGGCTACTGTTGAATACTTATCATGTACGTAGATTAAGTGAAGTTTATTTTGATTACAACTTTTTTATGTTCTCATTATTTAAGAATTTCAAACTTTCTATTGACCACTTAGGATTTAAACAGCTAACACAACCAGGAAGGTATACACTGTATTTATATTGTGCAGTAAGCCCTACACCACCTCTAATTTACATTCACCAGGTGGACTATGATTGATTTGTTGTCTATTTTACTGAAATTGTAATAATAACTGTGAAGGACTTGTTACAAGGCTTGAGTTATAACTGCTTAATAAAAAGTGGTGAGATGTTTCCCTTACAGCGGTGTTTCCTCATCAAAGTAAAACCATGTGTTCAGTGACTGATTTGTTTTCCAGCTATTAGACCTAAGTTATTCTGTCTAGGAGATTTCGAATGAAATACCAGGTTGATCACTTCCTTTTCTATATAGTTAATCTAATAATCCTACAACCTTGTTTTTCTCAACATAATATTTGTCTATAGTCCATTATGGAAATCTGTCTGTAGGATCTATCTGTAGGATACATCAAGGTAAAACAGGATACAACAAGGTAAAATAGTGTACAACAAGGTAAAACAGGTTACAACAAGGTAAAACAGTGTACAACAAGGTACAACAGGATACAACATGGTACAACAGGATACAACAAGGTAAAACAGTATACAACAAGGTAAAACAGTGTATAACAAGGTAAAACAGTATACAATAAGGTAAAACAGTGTACAAGAAGGTACAACAGGATACAAAGTAAAACAGTGTACGACAAGGTAAAACAGTTTACAACAAGGTAAAACAGTGTACAAGAAGGTACAACAGGATACAAGGTAAAACAGTGTACAACAAGGTACAACAGGATACAAGGTAAAACAGTGTACAACAAGGTACAACAGGATACAAGGTAAAACAGTGTACAACAAGGTACAACAAGGTAAAACAGTATACAACAAGGTACAACAGGATACAAGGTAAAACAGTGTACAACAAGGTAAAACAGTATACAACAAGGTAAAACAGTGTACAAGGTAAAACAGTGTACAACAAGGTAAAACAGTGTACAAGAAGGTACAACAGGATACAAAGTAAAACAGTATACAACAAGGTAAAACAGTGTACAACAAGGTAAAACAGTGTACAAGAAGGTACAACAGGATACAAAGTAAAACAGTGTACAACAAGGTAAAACAGTGTACAACAAGGTACAACAGGATACAACAAGGTAAAACAGTGTACAACAAGGTAAAACAGTTTACAACAAGGTAAAACAGTGTACAAGAAGGTACAACAGGATACAAGGTAAAACAGTGTACAACAAGGTACAACAGGATACAAGGTAAAACAGTGTACAACAAGGTAAAACAGTGTACAACAAGGTACAACAGGATACAACAAGGTAAAACAGTGTACAACAAGGTAAAACAGTATACAACAAGGTAAAACAGTGTACAACAAGGTAAAACAGTATACAACAAGGTAAAACAGTGTACAACAAGGTAAAACAGTGTACAACAAGGTAAAACAGGATACAACAAGGTAAAACAGTTTACAACAAGGTAAAACAGTGTACAACAAGGTACAATAGGATACAACAAGGTAAAACAGTGTACAACAAGGTAAAACAGTGTACAACAAGGTACAACAGTATACAACAAGGTAAAACAGGTTACAACAAGGTAAAACAGTGTACAACAAGGTAAAACAGTATACAACAAGGTAAAACAGTGTACAACAAGGTAAAACAGTGTACAACAAGGTAAAACAGTGTACAACAAGGTAAAACAGTATACAACAAGGTAAAACAGTGTACAACAAGGTAAAACAGTGTACAACAAGGTAAAACAGTGTACAACAAGGTAAAACAGTGTATAACAAGGTAAAACAGTATACAACAAGGTAAAACAGTGTACAACAAGGTAAAACAGTATACAACAAGGTAAAACAGTTTACAACAAGGTAAAACAGTGTACAACAAGGTAAAACAGTATACAACAAGGTAAAACAGTGTACAACAAGGTAAAACAGTGTACAACAAGGTAAAACAGTGTACAACAAGGTAAAACAGTATACAACAAGGTAAAACAGGTTACAACAAGGTAAAACAGTGTACAACAAGGTAAAACAGTATACAACAAGGTAAAACAGTGTACAACAAGGTACAACAGTATACAACATGGTAAAACAGTGTACAACAAGGTAAAACAGGTTACAACAAGGTAAAACAGTGTACAACAAGGTAAAACAGTGTACAACAAGGTAAAACAGTGTACAACAAGGTAAAACAGTATACAACAAGGTAAAACAGTATACAACAAGGTAAAACAGTGTACAACAAGGTAAAACAGTATACAATAAGGTAAAACAGTTTACAACAAGGTAAAACAGTGTACAACAAGGTAAAACAGTGTACAACAAGGTAAAACAGGATACAACAAGGTAAAACAGTATACAACAAGGTAAAACAGTATACAACAAGGTAAAACAGTGTACAACAAGGTAAAACAGTATACAACAAGGTAAAACAGTGTACAACAAGGTAAAACAGTATACAACAAGGTAAAACAGTATACAACAAGGTAAAACAGTATACAACAAGGTAAAACAGTATACAACAAGGTAAAACAGTAAAACAGGTAAAACAGTATACAACAAGGTAAAAC